ATGCGGGGCAGCGGGTCTGCAGGAAGGTGGGCTCAGGCCCCACCGCCCCACGTTCCGGTGGCTGGAACCAGCTCCGCCAACGCTGAGGACGCCTTTCTGAGGGAGGCCGACCCGGGGAGAGGGGGCTGGGGCTTACCTCCTCCTCGGCTGCAAAGACCCTCAAGTGAGTTCCAGGGAGGAGCTCTGCAGGGGAGGATCTCCCAGGTGAGCTGGGAAACTCTTCATCGGGAAGCAGCTGGGAGCGCTTGGAAGTGGGGTTGGGTGAGAGACTGTGGGTCCTTCCCTGAAAGCATATGTGTGGAATCTAACGAACAAAATAGGTCCAGAGACCTGGGAGCATGGAACAGACCGACAGATCTCAGAGGGTCGGTGGAAGAGAGTGACCAAAGAATTTATCTGCATACATGCATAGCTCGTGGACACAGACAATAGTCCAATGAAGGCCTGGGGTGGGGCAGGAGCCAGGTGGAGAGGGGCAAAGGGGTAAAAATGGGGGCACATCTATAATACTCTCAACAATAAAAAATAAATTTTTAAAAAAGGAATGTTTACCTTCTGACTGTGTCTCCCACTGACCATGCAATGGGAAACCAACCATTACCCCCATTTGCCAGGTTACCTGCCAGGGAGTGCAGGAGGGACGGATCCGAATCTAGACCTGTCTTCCCACCCATCCCATTCAGGCAGGAGGCAGGACAGAGGGGCAGGATGAGGCTGCCTGCGGCCTCCATCCAACCCTCCAGAAGTAGGACTGGAAGGCCGGCCATTGCCTTCCTCCAACTCCCAGGCCACGGCTGGAGTCAGCACTCGGTCAGAGTGATTGCCTCCTCCTACCTCGGAAGGAGGTCTGTAAAAATGGAAAAGGAATCCCAACCCTGGGGAGACCGGCCCTTCCTACCCGGCCATGGCTGGGTCCGCCAGGCCTGCCGAGAAGAGGACTCAGCAAGTGTGGAGCTGGAAGGGGTGCGCGCAGCCTGGTCTCATCTGTTATCCTCGGGGCCACCTAGTGGCCGGGGTGTGATACTGCGCCAGCCTCCCGCCTCCCACTTTCCTGCTAACCCACCAAGCTGTCCTTTTCCTTTCGGGCCTAAAAAGGCCCCACACACCCACTGCTTTACGGGGAGACTGAGGCACAGAGATGTTGTTAAGGAACTCATACGCACAGCAGCGTGCTCACCGAAGTCCCCTGATCTCCAACCGGTTCAGATGCCAGACCAACCTGGTGACCACAGGGTCCTACGTTTTCTCGTGGCGTGTGTCTGAGTGGGAAGGGGGTTGAGAACCCACACTGGCTTGAACCGTATCAGGCCTTGTACACAGAGCCTCGCTTACTCTCCTTAGCAGCCCCAGGAGGTGGGTGCCACTGTGCCACTTACTGGGAGGAAATGGAGGCTCAGCAAATCGGGGTAACACTGCAAGGCCACACAGGGAGCTCCTCTTACTTTTCCCTCAGGTTTGGGGTGAAATCAGTGAAAAGGAACGTCAGGCGACCCCAAAAGGAGCTGAGGTTGGGCGGCGGCTGGAAAGCAGACACCTTTTTTCTGCTTGTTCCACCTCCAGGGTGTGGGTTTTGTGGGCCTAGAATTGCTGTGAGCCTCAGGCCTCTTCCATCATCAGTGCCCAGAGAGGTGCTCCCACTTCCTCTGAGCTCCCCATTCCAAGTTCTCAAGGAAGATGAGGGCGAGGGGTGCTGGCTGGGGTGCACAGCTCTCAGCCCGCACAGAGGGTCCCTGGGCTTGGCTTGAGTGAGAACTGCAAGGGCCCGGAGCCTCCTGCCCCTCCCCTGGCACCCTCTCCCCCCACCCCAGGTCCTTTGCTCTTGGTACCCCCTCCTCCCTTCGTTTCCTTTGGGGCAGGGGGTGGGGAATTTAACTCCTGGGTGAAGTTTGAATTTCACATCCCAGCCTGGGGAGAGGGCCCCACAGCCTCGCCTCCTCCCCCACCCCCCAAACGTGAAAGGAGCCTTTGTGGGCTTGAAGGAGGAGGGAGGAGAGGTGCAGCCCGAGGAGCTAACTGTTTCCATGACTCAGCTCTCCCGGCCCAGGGAGGTGTGAGGACTCAGCAGGGCGGGCGGGAGCCGCCTTCTAGCCAGGCAGTTCCAGGA